CAGTGTCTGGTTCTTTCCAGAATCTTCTCTTGGAGTCATACCTGATGTGATTAGCAGCTTCGTCCGACTCCTGTAGAGCAGTGTCTGGTTCTTTCTAGAATCTTCTCTTGGAGTCATACCTGATGTGATTAGCAGCTTCGTCCGAACCCACTGGGGGATGAGATGATTCTGCTGCTGTTTCTTGGCCAGGAATCTCTTGGTCCTGAAAGTCCTGTGAGAAGACCGAGCGAAGGTGAAAAATAGCAGTGCTCACACGAAGGCGAAGATAGGAAGAGTCTCCTTAAAGGTTTTAATTTGCATCTCCTGGTGTGGCATTGTAGGATAAGCACTGGGCTAGAGCCACAACGTCAGCAGTTCAAGTCCCCCATCTCCTTGGAAATCCTATACAGGATCACTAAGAGTCCAGCTGACTTGACAGTACTTAGCAACATAGCAAATCATGTGCTCGTTAGCTACAAGGTATCCTCTTGGTGAAATGTCTGTGTAAGCCCTTTGCCCATTGGTTGGATTGGATTGTTTCTCTTTTGTTGTTAATTTGTAGAAGTTTTGAGTTGGATGGTTTTTTAATTTCTCTTTCCCACACAGACCAAGTATGATGCCAACCAGCAATCCAGGAAGCACCTCCTCCCCAGCACGCTGGGGGACCTGAGCAGCAAGGAGCATCCCCAGGGTGGGCTGGAGAAACCCCAGAATGGTCTCTTCTCCTCTCAGCACATAGACCATCACTACAGCCGCAATAGCATCTTAACAGATCACTTTCAGTACAGCCGGCAGAGCTACCCCAACACGTACAGTTTGAACCGTTATGACGTGTAGAGTGGGGTGCACTGGACTCCTTCCCCCGCTCCCAGCGGCACCGGAAACTTCTGACCACCAGTGAATGTAAAGCTGAAGAGACAATACAGAACCATGGGGCTGCCCCCAGCTTCCGGCTTCCGGTGTTTCCGTGGGCAGTGGGAGGCCAGCAGCAGCTAGGACAACAGGACTCACCCAGACAAGAAGCGGAGGAGGCGCTGTGAGCATTATTAATATCACTCTGGCAACAGAGAGGAACCCAGTTTCCCCAGGAACCCCGGAGGCTGTTTACAGTTACTGGCAAATGGTCTGCAGTGAAAACCAGTTTGCTTTTCATTCCTGCCACCTAATTCTTTGCTGTGCAAGTCAGAGTTGGCACGGGTCCAGATCTGTAGAATAAGGAAACGGCTTTCACCCATCTGCCCCTTTCTGCCCTTGCTGGGAAGCAGGCTAAGTCTCTTCAGGGTGGCGAGGAGAAAGTGAAAGCAGGGGAGCATCGGTGGTGGGGAAAGGCTGCTGGGGGGTCCTCCTTCAGGACTCTGGCTGTTTCTTGTCGTCCTTGTTCTTTGATGTGTCTCCATCACTGCTGGGATGACCCAGTAGGACAGTTGATGGGGAGGGAGGAGTTTGCATTTGTCTAGGGTATATTTTATAGTTGTGTATTTTTATGCTTTGGTCCCCATAAGCATAAGGGGACCACGAGGACTGGCTTGTGGGTAGAAAACTCTTTTTACACAGTTCAAGATAAGTTCTTAATTGAGGTTGGGGGGGGCTGTCTGTCGCATTCAGTGTTTAGCAGGAAACAGTGAGTTACGTTGCAAAGCGCCTCCTGAATGACCCTGCTGTTGGAAATCTACAGGAATCAAGGATTTGTGTACAAGACAAGACCACAGTGTTTTGACTGTGTACTCTATTTTGCATCATTTTTGTGAGATTGGAATCATATTCTGGGGTGGAAAAAAGGTGGGTACCAAGCTAGGCTGTGCCTCTGAGAGCCCAGCCAGTCTACCTAGGAAGAAGTCTGGGTTTTGGCAGAATCATGTTGCCAGGAAGGCAGTAGGTAATGTCAGCTTCACTGAGGGGGCTGCCGGCTGTGGGGTCTCAGTGATGATAATGATGTCCCTAGCCTCTTGGACAGATAGATGCTGGTGCTTGTGAAGAGCTTGTCACAGTCACCCGCCCCTTCATTCCTGGTGATTGGTAGGTTTCTCTGTTCAGAGAGGGAGTTTTACCGGCTCCTGCTCCACTCTGGATTTTTACTACTGGCATTTTACAACTCTGTGTCTCTCTCCTGGTTGTCTATTGATGTCCATTCCTACTCCTGGCATCCCCATGGGTCAGAGTAGAGCTGTGCCCTCTAGGGTTTTCAAGGCTGTGACCTTCCAGAAACAGGTCACCAGACTTCCAAGGCATCTGTGGGTAAGTTTGAACTGCCAGCTTTTCAACTAGAAGACCAATACTTCACCATTTGTGCCGCCCAGGGACTCCTGGCATTTTATACTAAAAAACAGTTAACTTTTGTCAGCTTATCAGTGAACTCTGGGTGGCACAGATTGTAATTGACAACTAACCACAAGGTGAGTGGTTCAAACCCACGCAGACAGACATGGTGATTTACTCCCATAAAGATTACATCCATGAAACTCTATGGAGCTTCTTAGTGGGTTCCCATGAGTTGGAATCAGCTGGATAGACACTGGACTGGCTTTTGGTTTGGGGGGATGGGTGGCTCTGGCAGGGGTTCCACAGCTCACCCATGAGTTGACACACCACTTGTCAGAGAGTGTCTGCATTTGTCTGTCTTTTGCTTGCTTTAAACACTTTGGGCCCATGTTTTAAGATCATTTGTGTGCATAATGGAACGCGCCAACCCTGAAGGCCATAATTTGTGACAAGATCTTGTCGAGCATCTTCACCAGAGCCAGGAATCTCTGCTTGAATTTGTCCCGTGGCCAATAGCAGATGGGGATAATTTTGCACCACAAAGATGTCACCTTCGTTAAATTGTCTCTCTGGTCACAGTAACTGATTCCTTGAACGTATTGAACTCCCAAATGAATTATGCCTCTCCAGGTTGAATGAAATTTCTGATGTTCAAATTTATACATGGTTTTTCCAAGGCAAGATCTGCTCGTGAGGGTTTGAAATCACTGGTTTTATGATTTGTGAATTAATAAATGAGATATTTAATTCTGTACATAAATTGACAGCAAAGTGCATACACTAGAATAATGGAGACAGTCATATTTGACCAAATCATCCAAGCAGAAGACAGAGCCCTGCAGACTCACAGCTGACTCTGGGCTGACCCTGGGCGGTGTGCCCAGCCACTCAGCCTCCGCCCACATCTTCACCCTCGTCACTGCTGGGGTTTGTGGTCTGATCTGGCCTGGGCAACCCTTCTTTTTATAGAAGAGGCAACTGAGGCTACAGGGATTGGATTTCTGAATATAGTGTAGGTTCACTTTTGGGAGACTCAGCATGGTCTTTTAAGCACCTTATTTTAAGCTCCCCCATTATCAGGGAAAGAGTCACTGGGTGGCATAACTCACTAAGCACCCACCCAGTGGCACCTCGGAAGACAGACCTGGCATTTTGCTTCTGGAGAGTCACAGCCTTGAAGACCCTGTGGGGCAGGTCTACTCGGCACACGTGGCTCGTCTGAACAGCTGTGGTCGTTTTGGTTTATCATGAAGAAAAATCTGTTATAAAGCCACATGTTTTGAAGTGAGGACGCATTTGAACTTGCAGTTTTCCTGTGTACTGAGCATACATCACACAACAGTGTCTGATTCCCAGGAGGGAACCAGCCAGATACTTTTAAGGCCCAAAAGTCAGAAAGGCATAAACATTAATTATTCAAGGACTGAAAACTGTCGTCCCCCCCAATGGTCACCTGTTTCCAAGACTCAAATGCTATGGACTGTTCTTTGGGACTGATACTGTGTACATTACTGATGGCATTTACCAAAAATAAACCATGGATTCCAGGGACTTGATTGGTCCTATTTATCATTTAAGCCCTCTTGAGATTTCGTGGGGGAACCCTGCCTTCAGCAAGCGTGTACCAGCGACAAAAAGCACAAAGTGAGGCAGAAAGAGCAAAGCAGCTGGGTTCTCATTTGTCAGTGGACTGGAATCGATGGATGTGGTGGTGGTGTGCTGTGGAGTCACTTCTGACTCAGTGGCCCTGCATAGTGTTTCTATGGGAGCAGAAAGCGACCGGTACATTCAAACTACTAACCCACTACAGTAGGACTCCTTGTAAACAGGTGTGGCATCCTTTTCTCTTAGAGTCCCATATTAGGCTATATCATTTGAGTATTAGGAGGTAGCAGAATAAAGATCAAATCACAGCTCAACAGGTAACGAGGTGCTTTTATTGAGTAGAGAAACATGGAAAATGCTGGAATGTTGCGATGGCCAGGACTCTGAAGCCTATTTTTGAGTGCTAAACTAACAAGCTAACAAAGGCATTACTAGTAGGTCAGTGGGAGAATTCTTGCCTTCCATGTGAGACTTGGTTTGAGTCCCAGCTTCGTGTGCAGCCAATACCTGTCTGTCACTGGTGGCTTACATGTTGCTGTGATGCTGAACAGGTTTCTGTGGAACTTCCAGGCTGAAGCAGACTGGGAAAAAAGGCCTGCCTTCTGCCAAAAACCAGCCAGTCAAACCCCTGGAGATGACAGTAGGCTGGGCAGCGTTTGTTTCATTTTGCATGGGACCTTGAGTCAGGGACCAACTTGGCCGCAGCTACAGTACCAGACGAAGCATGGACTTTTCACACAGTCGTTACCATGCCTTTGCATTAAGTTTTATGAACTTCGTTTTCCAGATGAAGAAAATGAGATCTACTGGATTAAGTTATTTGGGATTACTTACAAACTACTAGGTCTGACTCCACAGCCCCTTTCTCCCATATCATGCTTCTCAGAAACCTTTCCCAATAAAGAGTTGGGACAAGAAGAGTTTCTGCTCTGAAGTCTTGATCCTTTTGTTCAGTGATTAACAAGCACCTAATCTGTGCCAACTAACAGGCAACTGAGCAGCTTCCCACCCTCAATGTGCTTCCTTCCTTTATGGATGTTCCATTCTTACATTGCACAGAATGCTGAGGAACATAACAGGGCAGTTGTTTGAGGGGCATATGAGAATGCTCCGACTTACAACTGACAAGATCTTCTCTGTACTGTGCCTCATTTAGTTATTAGAGGGAGATGCTACTGGCTTAGTTTACAGAAGGAGAAATGGATGCAGAGTGGTCACTTGTGGGTCTCTGGAGCAAGCCTGGAAGCCGCCAAGCAGCCATGCTCACGGGAGCCATCTTCAGGTTTTGACCTTAGCCATAGACTGCTAGGAGTTGGTTTTAATAAATGGGCATCCTCACCTGGCTGCCTGGACCTCGCTGCTGTTAGGCCCTGGATGAGTCATGTTCTGGTGACCAGCCCCTGGATGCGGTTCCTGCTTTTGGGTCAGGGCCTCGTGTAGAAATGGCTCTCTTGTTCATTCCCCAGAGACATACTGCCCCGCCAGACTCCCAACTCCCCCTCAGGAATGTTCTCTCCCAGAGACCGGAGTATTCCTGTCTGTCCCTCCAGGGCACCTCCTTTATGACCAAAATTTTGCTTGGTGTGACATGTGGACAAACAGGCTAGAGGAACGTGCCTTGCTCCAGGACAGGGACCTTCCATTCCCGTAGCCTTCCTCCTTAGAGTCAGCGTGGCAGCTGACTTGGTTTCAAGTCTCTGGGTGGCATGCATAATGGTTTACAATTAGTTGAAAGCCACCACCCCGCGACACCATGAAGGAAGGGTCTGGCAATCCGCTTCCATTAAGATGACAGCTGGTCTACTCACATGATGTCACAAGGTAACTGGACTCAGTGGTTTCGGGTTTGGAAGCTGTGACTTCAGCTAGCGGACCCTGAGCAGACTGGGGTGACAGTCACACAAAGCTTTGGCTCTGCGTTTGGTTGGGCCTAGATCCCCTCCCTCATCCACCACTTTTCTTAACTTGTTACCTGTTTAAAGTTTGGGAAAAAATATTAAGCAAAAATATGGCACTGCAGGAAAAGCACTAGACTGATAACTGCAAGGCTGAGATTTAAACTCAG